AAGGGATCAGGTATAAGGCATCATCAGAACAAAAATGTTACCATAGTGAATGAGGGGGGGAGTGTGGAGTAGAGACCCAAAGCCCATTTGTAGACCACTGGAGATCCCCTTGCAGAGGGATCTCAGGGAGGAGAGGAGCCAGTCAGGGTGCAATGTAGTAAGGATGAAAAACACAACTTTCCTTTAGTTCCTAAATGCTTCCTCCTCCCCCACCACTATCATGATCCAAATTCTACCTTGCAAGTCTGGCTAGACCAGAGAATGTACACTGGTACACATAGGAACTGGAAACAAAAGGAATCCAGGGCGGATGATCCCCTTAGGACCAGTGCTGTGAGTGGCGATACTGGGAGCGTAGAGTGAGGGTGGGTTGGAAAGGGGGGGACCAATTACAAGGATCTACATGTGACCTCTTCCCTGGGGGACAATGACAGAAAAGTGGGTGAAGGGAGAGGTCAGACAGGGCAAGATATGACAAAATAATAATTTATAAATTAATGAGGGCTCATGAGGGAGGGGGGAGCTGGAAGGTAGGGTAAAAAATGAGGACCTGAAGCCAAGGGCTTATGTGGAGAGCAAATATTTTGAGAACGATGAGGGCAATGAATGTACAAATGTGCTTTACACGATTGATTGTGATAAGAGTTGTATGAGCCCCTAATAAAACGAAAAAAAAGAAAGACATTCAAAGAAAGATTTTGATTATAGTGGCAGATACATGACTTGAGTTCAAGCATGAAGATGACGCTAGAGATACATTTGAGAATTGTGAGCATACAAATGCATTTTAAAGCCATTGCCAAAGATAGTAATGTAGATACACAGAAGATTTCCATGAATATAAGGAATCAGCAATGAAAATCGAAGAAGGGCAAAGAAGTAGAAGGAAAACCAGACAATTTGGGGGTATTTTTTCGGGGGTACTGCAAATTGGAAAGAAAAGTGATTTGCATAAAATATTGCTGATGAATTGCTTCATCAATTAAGATGAAAACTGAGAATGTGATTTATCAGCATGAAGGTATTTGGGGACATGAATGAAAGTGATTCTGATGAAATGAGTGAGTTTAAGAGTGAAAGTGAAAAGAGATAGATGAACGAGGCATGTAAATATACAAAAATCATTTCAAGATCTTATCCTTCAAAGGAAAAAACAATGAATGGAATGCTAGCTCAAGGGAAATATAGTGGAAAAAATGTTTCATTAGAAGGTACATCATGGCAGTATGCTATTTAGAATGGGAAGTGGGAAACAAGTATTGGAACAATGTTCTTTGGGAGGTGAAAGGGACAATATCTATTATAAAATTCATATATTGTGATAGCTAGCAAGACAAAATAATTGAGTATAAATACTAAAAGGTTGGGAGAAATGGTAATGGAAGTAATTGGAAGTTATCTTCTAATTTCTCAAACTACTCAGGAAATTAAGCAGTAAGTTAATAGCTAAGAATAAAGAAGGGTAAGTGCTTTTAGGTTTGAATAGCAGAGGAAAGGCATGATAGTTAAGGGACATACAAAATAGTAAAGGGACACACAAAATGATTTGAAACGCAAGGGCACACTTGGAACTTTATGTCTTAAGAATTATTAATAGGATGACACTGGATTAGAAGAGATGAGATGAGGAAGATGGGAGGAAGACAAGTTTGGAGACTGCTTTAGTATTCTGTAATAAATAACTAGAGATAATCTCTAAATTTAATACTGTCTAAATTAAGACAAGAGCAATTGAAGGGTAATTGATGACACAAATTCAGAAGTCATTGCAAAAGCAGAACAAATCAGATTTGGTAAGCAATTAGATGCAGAAGTAAGGGGGAAAATGAATTGTGAGTGACATGTAGTTATATTTGTCACAATGTGTGGACATTCTCTATAATTATGTCCAGTTTTTTTCCCTTTTCCAGTACTTTAGTTTCCCTTCCCCCTTATTGTCACATCACTGCTTTTGAATAATTATTGGTCTTTTGGATGCATCGTGATGGTTTTTAAGTAGAGAGATAATAATTTGGGTAACATCCTTTATCTTCTATACTATTCCACTATTTCATTAAGTGTGATCTAAGGGGAAAGGCTCAATTTTTTGTTTAGAGTGTCTCTCAAGGAGTCCTCTATTCTCTACTGTTTCAGTTTGTATGGTTTGTATGTTTATGTCTTTCAATAAGAATTTGAGTTCTACTCCATATTTTTCTCTCATTCCATCCAAGACTGCAATTGGGGCCCTGGGCAGAACAGTGTGCAGTGGTAGCCAAGTACCCTATTATGCTACTGGTCTGAAGGAAAGTGAGGTTGTAGCTCCTATAGACTTATTCCTTCTCTGCACTTTTAGTTACCTTACTATTTTGCTCCTGAGAAAGTAGACATCTATAAAATGTTATAAGCTTTATGACCCAAGACACTACTTACTTCACTAGAATGCAGATTGTAAATGACATTATGCCAATTGACTGAGTTGTCCCATGAAACTAGAGTGCTAACTAAGTAAGCCTTCAAACTCAGAAAATCAAAACCAAAAAGTTTCTAGTTATTTCTCAGAAGTATGCATCTTTGTGTCCTCAATGAAAGTGTTGTTGTTGTTGTTGTTGTTGTTGTTGTTGTTAGAGGCCATCGAGTTGGTTCCGACTCATAGCAACCTTATGTTGTTAAATCATGGGTAGGAATGGTTGAACAGAAAACAATATTTGCTTTGTAAATTTTCACTCTAGTCACTATAAACAAGTTTTTAATGTTAGGATTAAGCATCAATGTTCAGATTAATCTTGATTAAGTATCAAGATTATTTGTGTTTTACTTTATTAAACTTTCAATTTACTATATTAACTTTACAACCCATGGAGCACAGGATATCTTTCCATTTTTGTGGATCTCTTCTAGTGTCTTGTAGTATTTTACAATTCTCATGGTATAAGTTTTAATGTCCCTAAAACCCCAACCCTACAAACACTGCCAACAAGTTGATTAATTCCTAGATATTTCATAGATTTGGTTGCTGTTTTCAGTGGTGCTTTTCTTGACTTATTTTTTTAGAGTTGTCTTTTTCAGTGTAGAAGAACCCAACTGCTTTTGCATGTTGATCTTAAATCCTTTTGTCATGTTGCTAATGCTGCCATCAATATTCTTGTAGACTATTTAGGGTCTTCTATGGATAGGATTAGGAGTCTGGTGTCGCTGTCAGATAAGGGTTGAATTGCTAACCAGAAGTTGGTGGTTTAAAACCTACTAGCTGCTCTGAGTAGAAACATGAGGCTATCTTGCTCCTATAAATATTTATAATCTGAGAAACCCTGTAAGGATCATTATGAGTTGGAATCTACTCAGTGGCACTGGAATATAGAGCGCATCATGTCATCTGCACATAAAGATAGTTTTATTTTTTTCTTTCCAAATAGGAAACCTTTTACTTTCTCTTTCTAGTCTTATTACTCTGTCTATAACTCCTACGAAAATGTCAAATAAGAGTGGTGATAATGATTATCCTTGTCTCGTTCCCATTCTCAAAGGAAGTCTCTCAGCTATCTCCACTATGTATAAGGTTGGCTTTTGGCATATATGCCTTTAGGTATGTTGCTAAGTTATTGTGAGGAATTAATATGATCTTATAGGTTTTCCTCCTTTATTTTATATATGGTGAATTACAAATTGATTTTATATTGTTAAACCAACCTTGTACTCCTGGGATGAATCCCATGTAATCATGATGTATGATATCTCTGGTTTGTTGCTTAAGTCTGTTGACTAGATTTTTTTTTCCTACTGGTAGCTGACATTTATTGAACACTGACTTGAATATCCAACCAGCATTGTGCTTTACATGCACTGGCTTATTAATTACTCATAAAAACCCAAGAGGATTTGGCACTAATATTATCTTTGTATTTTACAAATTAGTTTGCTTATTTTTTAACAGTTTCATTGAAATTGTGTTGAAGTTTTTGCATCGGTGTTCATAAGGGACTTTCCTATTTTTATAACATCTAACTGCTTTATGTATCAGGGTTATACTGACTATACAGAAAAAGATCAGTATTGTACCTTCTATACTTTTGAAGAGATTGACCAGGATTTGTGTCAACTCTCCTCTAGATTTTAGTAATTCTTAACATTTATTTTGGGGTAACTGGAGGAATTTTTGAAGCCCCTGAACTCCAGACAAATCAAAACAAAATAAAACAAAAACCACAGCCACACAAATATGTTGCAACAATTAAGTGAGATACAATATTTATTGAGATACAATTTTAAATGAATGATTCATGAATCAGATTCTCCAGTTCTTATTTAGTTCCGCATACCAATGTAAATGGCCAAATGTCCCATGTCAACCCTCTCCTAACAAACTACAGAATACACAAAATGTTATATTTATTGCTTAATTTAAGAAATAACCCAGACCCCAGGCTATGCAATATAGGAAACTTAGAAAATGTAACTGGCATACTGTTGTCAATAGGACAAACTTAGACAAATTCATTACTCTGGCCACTCCACTATTTCTTACATATACCCTTTTCAACTCTTTCACACACTCAACAAGATACCTGGTGCTGCTTTCTAGTAGAATTAGATCTGTTTTGCTACATAGAAAGACATATAAGTTAATTAATTGAAAGAACTTGATTTAATATGCTGGGGACTAATAAAAGCTAGAGAGCAATGACAAGACAACTCCTGCTTCTAGGAGCACACGATAGAAGAGAAAGACAAGTAAAGATGGCTTAGCTCTAAAAATAGATCCTTTTGAAACTAGTTCTGCTGTACCAACAAGTTTCTGATATATACTTTAAACAATATAAACACAGTCCATACAAATACACCACCTTAAAATCTCTAAGTATTCATAGCATACACGCTTTTAAATTAGAACAAAGTTAGGGATCTAACTTACCATCATTTTTTCAAAGAGATCCAGTACTTCCTTTTCAGACAAATTCAAAGATCGTTCATCAGCTAATGGCTGAGCTACTGGAAAGTCACTCATCGCAACTGGAGAATCAATCGGATGCTGAATAAGAAGTTTTTCTTTTTTGACAGTAGATTTTCTAAAACTTGTAATTCGGTCACGCTGCAAATACAGATAAAAATAAAAAGTCTTAAGAAAGAGATCGAAAGCCATGACCATTAGGGATTAAAACATAAAAATGGCACAGTATAAAATATATCATTTTTGTCTTTGGACAAAATGCTATTTTAAGCAGCAAGCTCCAGTTAGAGATTGTATTAGTTTGAAATTTTGAAGTACTCTTCACCCTCAGAAGTAAAACTGAGTCAGTCTTTGTACAAAAAGTGAAAAGGAAAAAAAGAAAACAATCATGGATCAAAGTCCTGTGGCTAGTTAAGGAATAATGTGCCTATAAAGGCAGCAACTTTAGAACTATGAGAAACAGAGAAAAGAAAAAACAAAGTCTCTTATATTAAGCTATAAGGGGGAAATGTTGCTAATGTTTCTCCGCTTCAATGTGACAAAAAGTCTGACAAATATCTAGGGAAATTTTTTCAGTTTAAAGTAGTTAAGAGAATGAACTCTGAAGCCAGACCACTTGGATTTATATTTATGGTTTGCCATTTGTAAGGATCCCTGGTGTCACAGTGGTTAAGCCTTGGCTACTAATCAAAGGTTGGCAGTTCAAACCCATCAACCACTCTGTGGGAGAAAGTTGAGGCTGTCTGCTTCAACACAGATTAACACCTTTGGAAGTTTTATGGGGTTTCTTACGGCATCCTACAGGGTCACTGAGAGTTGGACTCCACAGCAACATTTTTGCTTTTTGTTTTTCTTGTCATTTACTAGTAAAATAATCTTCTGCTAGTTATTTAGTTTCTCTATACCAGTATAATTAAAAGTAATATGTTTAGTGAGCTTAGCTGCCATATTATTATTATTTGTTACTAATACTAATACTATGCTGCAGCTATTATTTTTCTTTTACTCCAAGGTTTTCTCCCATAAAAAAGTGAGACCAACAAAGAAGAAAAACAAAAATAAAAAGATATTATTTTCCATTAACTGGAAATATAAATATCTTATTCCAATAAATACTATAATGAAGAACTAACTATTTTATGGACATTGACTTGGAGTCATTGATTCCACGTACAATCTCTAATGATTAGCATGGTATTTTACATAAAGTTAATGACTGCATATAAACAAAACATTGTGTTTCAAAACATATAATATACAAACAATTAGTAATGTTCATAAAACTGAATGCAACTCAGTTTTATTTTGGTTTCTGTTAAGAAGCACATGCAAACCTTACAGCTCATGTTAAATAAGCAGATATGTTAGATGTGAAGACAGTGCATCTTCACTGCCACGGTACCAGAAGTCTGATAAATTGCTCAATATAACAAAGAGTATCATGGAAATTATTAGCCCAGCTTGTGTAAACTTATATTGGCCCACATTAAAAGAATACACCTTGATTCAAAGTACACTTTTTTAATTAAAAGGTGTACTTTGAAAGAAATATGAGCAGTTTTAAGCAGCTTATTCAGGATTACAAAAATGATTTGAGTACATGGTTGCTTACAAAGAGACTACATACTATTTGAGACCTGGAAAGAAACTTGAGAAAATATAGACCAATTCTCTCAATTCAAAGAAAAAGTGACACCTAAAGTTATAAAACTCCAGCTTTTAGTCTGGTTCTCACAGTAAGATTCAGTACTTCAAATCATCTTGGACTAATTGTTTCAAACGTCCCATTAACTTCTTGAGGAAAATGAAGGTAGTTTTGATATGTGGAGTATCTTCATATAACTCAAGAAGAAAAATGAAGTAATCCCAAATAAAACTGAGTACCTATCCAACAGTCAAATTTCACTGAAAGATATGGTGGACATAAAAGCATTTAAATGTGCAATCGACCATAAAATAAGCATATCCCTTTTCCTTTTCCCTCATATCATTTAACGTTTACTTTCCCAATACTAGCTTTCCTGAGTTGGACTATTTACATATATATTTATTTACACATACATTTTATCTTCCACTGTGTCCTTCAAGTCTTTCTGGAAAATTGGCTTGGCTTCAACTATATCTTGATTTCAAATATTAAATTAAGCCACATACCTTTACCTCCTTAAAGCACTAACAGTACTTAATATTATTTATGGACAGTTAAATTCACAAAGGAAAAACTGACAGTATTTAAAATACCATTTCAATTTTTCTAGTAATACGATGGTGTATTTAAATTTTGAGCCCATAATTTAAGTTTTACTATGATAACCTCAGCTTAAAATTATTCAAGATTTTAAAATTTAATAGCATATATCAGATCAGAAGGAAACTTAATCCCCTTTCGATTTGCAATTATTTTTCTCTAATACTATGTTTAACATAGTCACAGTCAATTTGTTTGACTATCTAAATTTCGAGAGTTCATTTTGGATAGAGATTTTTAAAAAGTTGTTTAACCTCTATATCACAATATCGAAATGTTGTTGAGACTGCATATAACTATTTATGTTAATATTAAAAAACAGAATTCACTCTAAAGAATATTTCCCATTTTATTGTAACTGTAAAGTAATCAGACATTTTGTATCAGTTTGTATCTCACATATATCAATGCTTTAATGTCCACCTACTTTAATAAAAAGGTAACATGCATAGGTAATATAATAACATGCTGCTTAAGACCACCTTACCACATCATCTGCCAAAGTTTTTATTTGAATGTTCTAATAAAACCAAAAAGAAAAAAAAGAAATACCTGTCAGACAAGAAAAATTATTCATAGCTCAAATAATAAGTAGTTGTATTATTATCATTTTTATTGACTATAATCAAGAAAATTAGCAAGTTTAGATATATACATAATATATTCTTTACAGAAGAGAGAAGAAAATGTTTAAAGTTCAAAAACTGAAATAAAAATGTCATAGCAAAGTCTTAAACCCCTTCATGTTATTTTCAATACTTGGAATAAATAACGCATCTAAATTTAAAAATTAAAAAGACACGAATCATAAGAAAAATTATATTAAACAGTATTGAGATATAAAGGATCATCTAAATCTTAGATATTAGTATTATAGCACAAATATTTAAATGACATTTCTTTAGAAATCTAAATAAAATTAACTTATTGATTCTGTTAATAAGTGTCCATTCCTTTAAAAAGCCCAACATTTTGTGTGTGTGTGTATGTTTCTACTTCTTTTTAAAAAAAGAAATCATATTATTGGGGACTCATACAACTCTTTTTTTTTAAATCATTTTATTAGGGGCTCATACAACTCTTATCACAATCCATATACACATCAATTGTGTAAAGCGCATTTGTACATTCATTGCCCTCATCATTCTCAAAACATTTCCTCTCCACTTAAACCCCCAGCATTAGGTCCTCATTTTTCCCCTCCCTCATGAGCCCTTGATAATTTATAAATTGTTATTTTGTCATATCTTGCCCTGTCCGATGATTCCCTCACCCACTTTTTGGTTGTTTGTCCCCCAGGGAGGAGGTCACATATAGTTCCTTGTAATCGGTTCCCTCTTTCCAACCCACTCTCCCTCTACCCTCCCTGTTTCACCACTCACACCACTGGTCCTGTAGGGCTCATCCGCCCTGGATTCCCTGTATTTCCAGTTCCTATCTGCTTCTAATACCAAGAAACACTGGGGATTGGATTATGGTGTTGGTGGAGATGACTGAAATACCATGGACTGCTAGAGAACAAACTAAATTTTAAAATACTGACTACTAGGAATTTACTTGAACCCTTCATCCTCACTCTACATTTATTTCTTTTAACAAAAAAAGGAGTAATACTTTGCATTTACATGCATGCTAAAAATAATAAAAACTATGGTCATCTCATTGGTGGGGAATCTCCACTGTGAATTTTAAGGAAATGAGAATTATGTCATCTCAGAATCTCAGGAATTTGTTTTTAAATACCACCAACCAAACGCTGTTGAAGATCTTTGCTGCCCAGACCAACTGGAGCAATCATACTGATAACTTCTATGCAAAAGTAATTCTAAATTATTGGTACAAAACCATCGAAACCTTTATAAAACAAAAATATCTCAACATGAAACTATTGCTTCTAGGCATACCCTCTGATCTAGGGCTAAATGTACACTTATGAAGGCACTGTTTCCATCTCTCTGACGATTCCCTCCCCCACCAAAGAATTCTGCCCTCTTCTATTCGAACCATTTCTAAATGGCAGTGTTAGCATCTCCTAGGGACTCAGGGCTGTAGGATGGGTGGTGAAAGGTGTCCCATGAGCATTCTCATAGGACAGCCCTTGATACCCTCCAAAAATGAGCAGATACGTTGTTGTGATGAGGAAAACAGTCAGAGAGCGGGTATCCTTGGTGCAACTCCTTGTTCCTTTTGCTCATTAATGCAATTTAACATTTTCTTAAAAATTACTCCCTAAAAATGCCCTTTGATCATCCTGTGTCTTTTGAGAAACCTTATGAAAATTAGCCCTTTGGAATTAAAAAATAAATAAATAAGTCATCATCATCATCATCTGAACTTGAGTTCTGTCTTGAATTTAACTGGCCCAACTGATCCACTACAAAGTCAGTGGTCTGATTGGACTTTTGTTTCTTCATTTTTTAAGCAGCATCCTAATAAGACTAAGGAGCACTCATGGCATACTAGTTCTCTGTTGGGCTGCTAACTGCAAGGTCAGCAGTTCAAAACCATCAGTTTCTCCTCCAGAGAAAGTAGCATATCGGAAAGTCACACAGGGCCAGTTCTATCCTGTCTTAATAGGGTCACTATGAGTCAGCATTGGCTCATCACAATGAGGTTTTTTGGTTTGTTTTTTAAATAAGACAAAGACAAGTATATTATTGAGAGAACTTATCTGCAGCCATCCACTGGACACAAAGACATTTCTAAACATATTTTGTTTGGAATAAACCCACACGTGCATGAACTGTAACCCTAGTAGTGATACTTTTGACTTACACTTCTATGAAATATTTTTCTCCTTTTAGTCCATAGAATCCTTCAGTGATCCTAACTTCTGAAATGTTATACTGTCTTCATCACATCCTGCTAACACTAACTCAAATCAACCTTTAATGCCCCCCACCCAGGAAAAAGAAAAAAAGGAGAGATTATTTATACCAGTAGTAGGCTCATTTTTTAAGAAATCAATTCACCCTGGACCTCTTTCTACCAGGTATTCACTCTTTAATTTTTCAAGTGGGTTACAAAAAACCATTGCAGGAACAAAGACATGCTTCCAGATTTCTGTAATGTAAAATCAGAATACGTAGTGGCAAAATATCCCAACTAAGCTTGCTATCCAGAAAGATAATAATCTCACTTGTGTTAGGATTTGACAAAGATTTTAAGTTTCCAAGAAACTCTAAACGTCCTTTTCTTCCCATCTTTTGTGGTTAAAAATTCAAGATTGGAAGCACAATTCTATCTCCAAAACAAGAATATACATTAGGAGAAAATATTTATTTGCTTAAATTCTCTAACTTAAGATGTACCTCATATATCTGGAATCCTTTACGTCTGCATTGCAATTAAATATATGCAATTAAATAATAGTGCAAAGATAAGGGACAACCATAAGCAAAAAAAAAGTATTTGGTCCAGTCTATAAAATAATACACTATTAGAGTAGGATTGAATTTGAAATTATCTAGTCAAAATATCTCATTTTACAAACATTGAAACTGGAGCTTAAAGTAGCTCAATGATTTTCACAGAGAATATAGACCTTGTCATCAATAGACTAACCATTAATATCAAATATAGTGCTTTTCTATGGTTACTTCTCAAAGCTTAGGGCACTAAAATTGACTTAACTGAATCTCAAAATCATAGAAACCTCCTTCTCCCATAAATTGCATTTCCCATTGGATAAATAGTTTTCGCCCCCATTGCCCAGGAGTTCTAGCCTCATTCTGAAGAACATTTCTCTGGCACTCACCAAAAGCAAAATCCCAACTCACTGCCATCAAGTCGATGGCAGCTCATTGAGACTCCATACAACAGGACTGGGTAGAACTCCTGTGGGTTTCTGAGATGAACTCTGTACAGGAGTAGAAAGCCCAGTCTTTTTCTTCCTGGGAGCAGAGGGTGTTTCAAACTGCTGACCTTGCAGGTAGCAGCACTGCACATAACCAGTTTGCCATCAGGGCTCTTCCTGGCACTCACAGCCCTTCCCGAATGCATCTTACACTTGTAACTCGTTGTTGTTGTTGTTGTTGTTGTTGTTGTTTTCAGTGGCTACATAGAGGGACAGTGAGAGAAAAAGTTCCTCAAGAAAGATGAATTGGCACAGTAACTGCAGCAATGGGTTCAAACAAAGCAATAATTGTGAGGATGGCACTGGATTTGACAGTGTTTCATTGTATTATTGGACATAGGGTCACTGTGTGTAGGCCTTGATGAAATGACACCTAACAATAATAATTATTTAGGTATTCAAGATAAACTATGTAGAAATTTAGAGTCCTCAATCTTTCACAATTCTTAAATTTTACCTTCATAACCCTAATCCTGTCTTGAGGAGCCTTGGTGGCATAGTGGGTCCATGTTGGGCAGGGGCACTTCTACCCTGTCCTATAGAGTCACCGTGAGTCAGAATTGACTTGATGGTAGCAAGTTTGGTTCTGAGTTAATGCTGTCTTAATGCCACAATTCTGAGTCAGAGCCCTTTCTCTCAGCTCTCTATATGAGTGGTAGGAGGGAAAAATGGGTATAAAATTCATAACCCAGTGGAAACAATATGAGCCGGTGATAAATTATTGGCGCAGATCATCAGTAAGGGTTTACAAAAAGTGGGTAACATTTGCCTTTCTGACATTTCCTTAGGAATCTGCAAATCTGCAAGCACCTCCCCTTTCCTCCTCCCCTATTAATACCATTTAAAGTGTGTGTTAAACTATAGAACATTAAATAAAAAGTTTGGCCAGAATTAACAAAGGGGGGGGGCATGTATGTTAATGGCACCAGTCACATTCCATTGGTCTCGGCTTACAGCTTCCATGTCATCTTAGCCTTCTCCCTTTCACTGACAAGCAGGAGTTAAGTTCCACAAGTCCCCTCTTCACTCCTGCACAAGCCAATGAATTTGAAGTCTAACAGCTGTTGTCAGCCTTCTAGAGAATACCACCGCTTCCATTCTTTCCCAGTTGCCAAAGCCATCTTCTTAAAGCAGAGCTCTGGTTCTAGTCACCACAACCCCCAAACCGAGGTCCCTGTTCCCATCTTTTCCCTCTAGCAGATCTTTTTTAGCATAGAAAGTCAGGTTTTTGTCACATTGCCACACAAAACTTAACTAATGCAACTCAGAAATCCTTACAATAGCCTACAAGACCTTATTAAATTGTTCACATGCCATATCCCTTCAACTTATCTCCTACTACACCTCAACCTTCAACTCACGCTATTCCAATCAAAGTGATCACCTCACTGCCCCTCAATAAGGCAAAGCCACATGCTTTGTCTCCTTGGTCTGGGATGCTCTTTAACAATATTCTTATGATTCACCCCCTCAACCAGTCACTCATCTTTCAACTTAGTTTTAAGCATGGTTTTTTAGGTTCCAAAGCCAGATCTAGATCAGAAATTGCTATGCTAGGATTTAAAAATTGAAAAAGCAAAGTTATAAACCTCTTTTTTCAAAATTTTGTCAAAAAGATTTGGAATGAACAACAATGTGAATGAGACCTACCCTGTCCATCATAT